AAATTCGCGGTTGAATATGTAAGTTAAATCAACAAAATGTTGAAATTGTTGCCAAAAAATAGAAAATAATTGTTGTTCATCAAAAAAATAGTATAATTCCATATACAGGGTCATACTTTATTTCGGTACAAAAAGTTGATTATATGGTAGGTCTCAGTAGGATGTGCAGAAATGATTTATGATCGGATTACAAGTTTATTTGGCTCGAGTATTGTCATAAGTGTCTCTTTGTATTGTATATTTAAATAAGATTATGAGCCCCATTCACGCCACCAATGAGGTAAAGCCCCCAATACATTTTGTTGGGATGGTTACAGTTGAACTTGCAAGGTGGAAAAATCAACAATATATAAAATTAGTGCCAAATATTAGAAAATAACTTGCTTGTGAGTTCTTTATTGAAAAAGATTATAAATATGCATACATTAATATTTTAAATAGCCAATACCAAACTTTGTCAAACTGACATAGTTTTTGGAATAACTAGAAATTAAAAACATTTAATGGAGCCTCAGAATGAAGTAGTCAATGAGCAGAAAAATCTGGGAAATTATCCATTTCTTAACTACTGTTTCATTGCGAGTTTTCTTCTAGGAAATCCATTGAGTAATAGTTATGCACACAATAAAGTATAAATGTCATATCTACTTATTGGTACTCATTCATATAAGAAATAGTATTTTCATGTTATTGGTTTCAAATATTTAACATAAGTCGAGTAGACATATTATTGTAATTTAATTTTCACGAAACATTTGTTGATATTTTTATAGTTTACAGCTTACCTCTTCCTCTCTTGATTTTTCAAGGGCTTCTCAAAACAATATGATATGAATATAGGGTAATAAAATATTCGTAATTTTCGAATAACCTGCCTGTTTTTATATTTTCATTATGCAAAGGCATGCAAGTCGTTTTGTTAAGTATTTAATGATTTAAACTTGGAAATATAGATAATCTTTAACATCCTGTAACTCCGTAATTTTTTCACTTCAGACGTTAAGCTTGTTGTAATCGACACAACAAAGGCATTTTAAATCGACTTGGGTCTGATACCGTGTTAAGAATCACCCTGTATACTCGTAATGATAAAATAAAAAGCTAAAGACTGTCTGCATGCCTGAAGTTTTGCTTTTTTAAATCTACTATGATAATACATAATTTTTCCGAAAATTTTCACAAAAATTGATTACCCTGTATATTTTGTAACCTATGAGTTTTGGACGATTGATAGATTTTATTAGTAAATTCTAAATAGTGGTGAATATGCCAAAAACCTTATAGGATATATAAACATGCTTACACTTGATTTATATATATTGATCTAGAAGGCTATGTTTAAATTTTTTCCGAATAATTGAACATATTGTTGACTTTTATAATAAATGACGTTTGTATTGTGACGAAGTCACTAAAATTCCCATTAATTTATTCTATAAATTAATTTCTAAAATTGATTTCCGTCTATGAACATTTGCAAGACTAATAATAACTAATATTTCCATAGAATTACCGTTTTTAAACCTTTGCAAGAGCCCTCGTAGTTTAAAACTTTTCATTATCACAATAAATTGAGTCGTGTCGTAAAATCGCAATTCTAGTAGGTTTATCAGTAAGCTGATCAATTAACATTTTTTTTGCAAAACAACTTATTTCCTCTGGGTAGGGACTATCGTCCCCACTCCGGCAAAAGTACGACTTTTGATAAAAGTAGATGTTTTCGCTTCGAAAAAAGGTTTTATCGAGAGTGCCGGATTTCCGTGAAGACCGTTATTTTTCAAGACAATGAGAAGTTAATCAAGGTAGGCCTTTTATTTAAAATTCCGTCTAATAATTCTCCCTGCAACATTAATTTCCGTTTCTATTAATTACCTAAAAAAATTCGACCAGTATTTTGGATTTCTTAGTACCTGTCAGGGTAACAAATTGGATTTAGATCCGGGGGCTTTAGCACCCTTCAACCATTTTCGCGTTAATCAGGGGGTGATAGTGGTATTCGCTTGCTTTACCCGTCGAGAAATGGTATTTCCTTTTCCGTTGATTGTTACCAACTTCTTAATTTGAATATTAGTACATCTAAAATTATTTTCCAACGCTAATGCTAGACTCTACTTTTAACAATAATAATTTATTTATTTCATTTTGTTTATTACGTACAAATTCAAACAATTCATTTTATAAACCTATATTATTATTAAGAAACATTTATTTTTTTCGCCAACGCCATCTATTAGCCGATGGTCAAAATATTTAAATTTGACAACCTCTAAACTGTTATCTTAAATATTAGAATGGTTAATTCGTCTATTTATATCTTGAGGGCGTTAATCAGTATATTTAATCTAAATAAAATTAATTCCTGTAGAATTATAAACACTTGTCCAAGAACCCATTTTAGTGCTTGTAGGGTTTAAAAAAGTTTTTAAATTTGTTTGTCTTAATTGTTCGTCCGTTCGTGAAATATTTTAATAATTTTAATTAATAGTTTTAGACCTACTTTGTTTATGTGTTTTGACATCAACTTTTTGTTGCAACTATTGTTTTTTATATTTTTTATGTATTTTAAAAAATACTCGCATACTTGTTTTTACACCGACCCTGGGATAATTCTCTTAGCTTAGTCTTAAATAGATGAGTAATTACGGGTGAGTTCTTGATATTTGACAACTTTCATATTAAAATGTTTAAACCCACTTTATTAGTTATGAGCTCATTCGTTTTTCCTCTCTATTTTTAGACCTTACCTGATGATGAGGATCTGATCCTCGAAACCGGTCGTAATAAAATACTCTTGTGAGATCCTAAGGACCACCCTCGTTTGATTTACCTTTTTGAACTTATAACTCACACATGGCTACCACCTTCAACTTTAAAGTTAAAATTGTCAATATTCCCTAAAGTGTTGGTCGAATAATACCGTTTTAAGTCACCTGTATTTGGACTATTGTGCCTAGCAAAATAATATTGCGGGGAGGATATTAAGCGTCATTATTACAAAGGCATAAGTGCAGAGTGATACCGTTCACAGCCGTTCATGAATTGTCCATATTTGATTACTGAGAGTAATTTATTAAATTTTAATTTCTAAAACCTATAGTTCGAATCATATTTAATTTTACTATTGTAGACCTTTTGTCTTATGGCTAAAACCGGTTGTTTTCATTAGTAGAAAAGAATTTGTGCTAAGGGTGTTAGTGCCCACCGTTATATTTTTTTTAAAGGAAATTATTATTTTTATTTTTCTCATGGGTATAGCATAGGTCATAGTTAATTTTACGGTTATGGCACTTTTCTGTTAATACCGAGACCGTCTATTTTATCAACAACACATATATTCTACATTTATTTTATTACCGCTATTAAATATATATACATACCGATTTCACCCTCATGCCATTTGTTTTATTTTATTTATTACTTATTTATTTTATTTTGTAAATATATTTTTAATTATAATTCCCGAGTTTAATTTTGAATTACTCCTTTACTTTTCCGTTTTCAGAGCTTAGGTGCTAATAGGTAAAAGTGCAGTGAAAAATTTTATTTACTTTATTACACCAGTGTAGGTCAACTAAAAAGTGAAGGTCTGGTCGTTCTATTTATTTTTTTTTTGTTTGTACCTGGACTCCACTGAGTCTGCTGAGGGTGTACTCTAAGTGGACCCCAGGGCCGCAGAGTAGACTGCGTTACCAAAACT